GATAATCTATGCAGAAAATCCTCTCCCTTCCTAAAGCTCTTGCGCCAGTCCTCATCTTCAGCAAAGTTCTGGGATTTACCCAAGAAAACTCTAAATAAATAAATAAAATGCTACATAATCTCTCTGCTGCTCTTCCACTCATTCTTTCATTATCATGTTCAGCAGGATCCTTTTTCATGGCTCTATTTTTCCTTCTCAATCTGCTCTTTCCTCCTTTTCTCCTTTTCTGCAGAGTGACTTTGGAGTCCGTGTGTTCTCCAGTAGTCCATATGTTTGTTTATTCGAATTCTGAATGCATATACATATTGCACGTATAGACATATGTATGCATATATCTTCTATATGCATATRTATTCACACACACACACACGAAAGGGAATAAAAGCGGACCCAATTCCCGCCTTTTAGAGCCTAGTTCGAAAAGTGTCCCCTGAAGGATCCTGCCTCCAGGTCCCCTGGTCTGACCCACCTCCAGCAAGGTGGGAACCAGCCCTCGAAGCATAGCCAGGGTGGGGGGAGAGAGGGAGGTGCAACACCAAAGCTCTTGAAGGTCTTTCCGTTTTAAGCAATTAACACATGATGCCGAATTTCACGTGGGATAGGGAAAACTGGGAAATACTGGGAAAATTGAGCTTCCTGAAATGCCTTTGTTATCCAGAGAAGCGACTACATCAAATCTAAAATCAGTCCTACTCCTAAGATTTGTATTTAAAAAGTGGGACTGACTTCTTCTTAGCGGCGGTTTCATGATTATTATTATTATTATTATTATTATTATTATTATTATTATTACTGTTGTAGTTTTTATTGTTGTTGTTGTTATTTTATTGTTGTTATTATTGTTAATTATTTTCCCATCCCTCGCGGATGAAGACTAGAGTTTTTCGCCAGTTTCATCAAAATCCCTAAGCTGCAGGAAATTGGTTAGCGAGAGCTGCTATTTCCTGGGAAAAATATACCTGGAATTTGAAAGGCCGGCTTGAACTCTGCCAGCTCTCGAAACACGTGGAATATTTGGAGCAGTGTGTCTGCCTGCCTGTCTTCCTACTGGGTTCTGTTAGCTCTCCATTTAGGGGAGGGTTTACCAAAGAGAGCCTGTGCGTGATGACATTCTCCTTTGAAAAGAAAAAGAAAAAAAGAAAAAAAAA